CACAGCAATTCTACTCTACACAGCAATTCTACTCCACACAGCAATTCTACTCTACACAGCAATTCTACTCCACACAGCAATTCTACTCCACACAGTAATTCTACTCCATACAGTAATTCTACTCCACACAGCAATTCTACTCCACACAGCAATTCTACTTCACACAGCAATTCTACTCCACACAGCAATTGTACTCCACACAGCAATTCTACTTCACACAGCAATTGTACTTCACACAGCAATTCTACTTCACACAGCAATTGTACTCCACACAGCAATTCTACTCCACACAGTAATTCTACTCCACAGAGAAATTCTACTCCACACAGCAATTCTTCTGGTCTGCCTTACTTCAAAAATAAAATTTAATCAGCTTTGCTTCATAGATGACAGCGAGTACTCACGCTTTCTTGACTTCAGGTCCACCACCTCCTCCTGCTCCAGGTCTTTTTGCTCTCAATGGATTAAAAACTGTACTCTCTTGTGTGTAGCGATTATTGACAAACATCAAGTGCTGTCAAAACACATTAACAATGATAAATTAACATTTAATATTAACTTAGATAAGTTGTAATTATAAATGTGTTTTAATGATTAGGTCCTCCTCCGATGATTACAATTGTTTCCTTTAATCCCTTCTTCTCTCCTTTCCACTCTTAAGTTCTCTCTCGCTCTTTCGATTCCCTCTTCCAATAAAATTCTGAAGTTATTACAAGACTAGGGGTAACAGCATCTTAGCCCATCAATCAGGGCCCAGTTATAAGAATAATAATTAGCACTATCCATTGGATAAATCTTATCCAGTGGAAACATTTATTGGATAACAGCATTGACTTATCCACTGGATAAGGATTTATCCGCTGGATAGCACTATTCACCATTCATACAACCGGGCCCAGAATGGTAAGCTTTCCTCTTCCCTCTCCTCCCCCCCCCCCCCCCCCCCCCCAATCACTGTGACCAACCACTGCCACCAACCAAACCTGGTCTGCAGTCCCTTAGCAGCACCTTAGCCCATCAATCAGCATGGTAAGCTCCCCCACCAATCACTGTGACCACAGTCCCTGATAAGTACAGTACCTGTGTTTTTGTTTCTTCTAAGAGGTGTTTATTTCCATTAAACCACCTCAATACCTAAAGAATATATAATATATTGAGGCTATTATATAACTGGCAAATTAGATAACAAAATATAAAGAAATATAAAGAATTGAATAACAGACATATGTCAAGAAAAAATGAAGGACAGGCGTATCCATATATACTGTAACCTAAAACATGAATATGTACATAGTGGACCCCCCCCCCCCCCCCAACTTTTGGAGTATGCCAAAGAAGTAACTGTTTTGAGCCCCCGGAGGAGAATTGTCAAGTTGTCAAGTGAAGAAATGATGATAACCCCACCCCCTCCTTCTTCCACTATACCACTCATTTAGAGCAGTTTTTGTATGACTGTAAAAAGCTTGCAGCAGGAACACAGTTGTAAAACATCAAGGCATACATCAGACCAATCACCTTGCACAAGAAATAACACCTCATCCAATCAAATGCCCAAAACACAGCATGAACACTACAAGGACACTACACCAACACTGTGCAAACATGGTCAAGCCAAGGTCATGGCACTGCCAGACCAATGACATTGCACAAGGAAAAAATCAGCCAATTAAAATTCTAGAAAACATCACAGTCGGCGTAAGGAATACTTGGGACAGCACTGGGCTTGTCAGAGTCATACAAATGCTGCTCTAATACATATGTTCTTCCATGCCGAGATACAGTATATATCAACTAATATGAATGTTTTCAGACAAACCTTTTTAGCAAAGACATTGTTAATATAAACATTGCTTGTACTTGTTTTTAGTTCATAAATTGAATGGAACAACTTGTAAACTTGTCTGCAAAACAAAAGAATCACAACAAAACGTTTATATTCAGTGATTAGTGGGAAGCTTTTGAAAGGTATATATTATCTATATCCTAATGATTTTTCTTCACAAACATTTATATTAGAAGTACAGGTGTTATGCTTGAGGGAATTCTTGCTCTAATAGATGGAGGTAATGTTTATAAACATTATAATCTAATGCGTTTACCACTCCTGGGTGGACAGCTGGATGCCTAACAGGCCTTGCGACCCAATTGATAAGGCAGCCGGTTAGCATGTTCACTGAAGATGGTCGTCACCAGCATCTTCAGTGGATCTTTTATGCCTTATACAGGGTTATATAGAGAAGACAGACGGGGCCTACAGTTATAAGTCCTTGTCCGAGAAGACTTGAAGGTCTAACCATTTGCAGATATAATTACAAAGGCACCTTTTCCTCAGTTATTTTAGACCCTGAGTGTTGGTCCGGCCTGGACTTGAACCACGACCTTGTGCACAACAGATCAACGCTCTTACCAACTGATTTAACCAGGTGCCGGTTGAAAGTCATTGTGATGTTAATGTGTCAACCATATTAACAATAGGTTTTTTCACTTTGCTTTGTTGGATTGTTCAATTTATTTCTGGTCGGCAATTCAAACAACAATTAACCAAGACAAATTCCATCATTGTATGACCACCTATTGCCATTGTAAATTCTGTAGTTCCAAAAATTATCCATATTCCCCTCACGGAGGAATTTTTTAAGACGCCCTCCTAATCCCCGGAAATTCCAATTTTCTTCCATACAAACTCTGTAATTTTTCTTCTCTCTCTCTGACCCCCCTACTCTTCGGAAATTCCAAATTCCTCCGTGGGGTGGGTATGGATGATTTCTGGAACTACAAATTACTATCATTTTCATCCGCAGACGTACTTGCATGTGCTATCTTTGGCCAGTCTTAAATTCTTGATTGTTCCAAATAAATTTTCTATACTAAGTTTATCACTGTCATCTGCTTGCAGACAAGTTTTAATAAACCATTCCTGAATAGAGATAAAAGAGCTATTCATTAAATTTAATAGACTTAGATTCAGCATAATTGTTTTTCCTGGTGTTTGCAAAATTTTATATTGGTCCAAGTGAGGCTGTAGAAAAATACTTTGTTACTAAATGGTTCTCTTGCCAGGCGGCTTATACTGATGGAGTAACTGTGAACTACTTGGTATAAGCTTTTACACCAACATATGTGAGTTGGTTCCCACCTCCCCCCCCCCCTCTCTCTTTCCCATCTGTGGGACAATGCACCCAGCTACACCCAGGCACTGGACCGGACCTACTGTATGTAACCGCTGACTTGGTTGGGGTCGAAAGTTACAACTTAGTATCCTGCATGAAAGGAAGCTTCTTGCAATGAGTTATTCTATTGCAATGCCAATTTTACAAGCCCCAATAGCCCCTATCATCCCAGTTACATGTAGTCCCATCTTCAAGTTTAGCTTACTTCCACTTTTAGTGCATAAAGATATTAAACTTAATCTGAAATAGTTGTCAATTTTGTTTAATTCTCGCCAATCTAATAACAGTTGTACATCCAATAAAGATTTCCTACAAACTGCAAAAAAACTGACCTTTTCGACGCCTATTCGATGATCAAAGCTGTCTATGACTAAGGAATTCTGTCCCAGGTTTGAACTGCTTCTTACAGATGCATACAAGTTCATATAATTTGTATTAGAAGACCTTAAATACCACGTCGCTGTAAAGACTATCACGATTATTATAATAAAGAGAAGGAGTCTACGTTGATGCCTGTTGGATACCATTTGTTCTGAATAAATAGAAAATACCATTGCTTAGTGTTCACTTTTTTCTTTTCCTTTAGTGGATTTTTCCACATCATCAAGTTGGACAGCGGTACAACATGCGCCATAGGAAGCCCAATTGCAAGATTGTTTTTTATAAGCTACTTTAAGCTACTGTACTTTTTTCTAACATTTTAATATAGTTTCTAGAAGTCTCTAAAGAAATTGAATCAGATTTTTGAATATTTTTCAAGAAATTTATCATTTTTCTTTAATTTTCTAAATATTCACTAAAACTAAGATTGGGCTCCCTGTGTGCTGTATGCGCAAAAAAGATGGTCAGTGATATGTGCCTGTTTGCACATGCGTATGATATCAAAACGGCGGAAGTAATGGAGTAAAACATTGTTAAATTGTGCGGGAAAAAAACTAAAAATATCTTCCAGAATGCTTTAGTTTTGCATCTTAAAAGCCCATATTAACAACTTAATCCACTTGCATATTTTATTGGCTTTTTAAGACCATGAGCGGGGGAGAAACGTCTGATATTTTGGAAAACAAACGAGCTGATCATGTGACAGGTGACGAGGTGGAGAAGAAAGAAGATCGTGTAAGCGTGGAGAAGGATGAACTGCCAGATGAAATCAAGGAATCCCAAGATGAAGGGAGCTTAACTGCATCAGAATTAAAAGCTGAGCCATCAGAGAAGTGTGTTAGTCATGAACTACAGCTTGAGCCAGAGGCTCACAGTATGGATCATGTGGAAAAGCATGATGATCAATTGGCAAAGTCAAGTAAGGATCAGGGCCAAGTGCACGACAATATTCAGACACAAGCCGAGGTTGTACAAAATCAGCCACCACCCCCTCCCTCTGAGGAAAATTTGTCATCCAGCCCAAATAAACTGTGTGCTGATTCAAGTGATCATAAAGACAATGAGACTAAAGAAGAACACAATAAAGTTCATAGTAGAATGACAGCAGAAAGTTTTACCGACACTTACGATGTTATTTCAAGAAAAGAAGTCCAAAATTTGAATAAATGGGAGAGTATCCACCAGGACTGTCTCTCAGAGATCCCTCCAATTGATCCTGGTGCCTTGCAAGACATTGAAAGAAAAGCAAAGGAGGTTGCAAGTAATTTGGACCATTTATTACATACTTTGAATAACAGTCTCAAGTCTATGTCTGTTGTAGGGGTACAGGGCACGGATACTTATAAGTCCACTGTTGAAAATGCTGAAGTAACAGTAGATGCTTCTATTAAGAGCATGCATGCCTTGATAGCCAAGTGCGAAGAGCTTCATTCTTATATGGGACCTCTTTATTCAATGTCAGCTCAGATCAAGGACATCAAAAGAACATTGGATGTATTTGAGTCTGTATGTAAATAGATTAAAGGGTGTGCATGTTCCTTATTGTGGTCCAGTAGTAGATTGTAGGCACCTGCAGTCATATTTGCCTTCAGCAGTCATAATTTCACTAGCTCTACAGAATACACTTTTTTTTTTACACGGGAAGAGATGTGTGCAGACTATAAATGTACCACTGAACATTATAGTAAGCCATTGCCATATTCATTCCACCATTTCAAAACTTCGTTTGGATTTGGTCTTTAATGGGCTGTCAATCATCTGGTGTTTATGCAAATTAGCCTTTGAACAGGGTTACACCCTGGGGGGTACTCCGCCAGAATTTGGGTAGGGATGTTCCGCTGGGATTCTGAGAGGGGTACCCTGTTTATGACAAAAGATATAATTAATTGCACGAGTTCCTGTTTCAATTATCATGTCATCTTGCGTATCATTTTTTTATGACCATGATAACCAGTTTCGGTCAATACGAAAGTAGAATCCCTGAATATAACAAGAAACTCAGGAAGAACTTGGACCTTGAGAGAAATTGCATACCCTGTTTATGACAAGAAGGTCGAGAAACCATACCCTGTTCAGCGGATCATCCCTGTATAGTCCATATATGGCAGTACCCCCCCCCCCCCCTTCCGGGGGCTTCACTCAGCTCCTGCTTTTTTAAATTCTGAAAGGCTCAGAGAATGGTTTACAAGTCTTCTTTTTGCCAAGTATTGAAGGCATTTTCGATGCTCATCCTCATTAACTTCAGGATATTTGAACTATGAGTTCTCATGACAGCCATGCAGGACTTGTCTCTTAGCTGTTGACAGAGTTAGACAAGGTAAATTATAGTATTTAGCTTTCAATTTAGCTTCGAAACTTTTGACAGCAAATAAACTCTGTCTGTATTCGGAAGCAAACCATTAGTGAATATAAGAATAAGAAGTATTAAGGTAAACCCTTTGTAAGAAAAATATTGTTACCGTACAGATGTTTTGAAGGACTAACATCTGGAACATCAGTATAGTACAAACCTTTTTACATTGTGTTTAATTCTTATTGACAAAAATTTAAAAAAAGTCTATTGAGGAAGAATGTTTTTTACAATTTCCTCTTTGAAAAATGTTGATTAAGAACGATTATTTTTCAAATGATAACAAAGCCATTATTTCTAAATAAGCTTTGAGCTATTAGTGCTATTCTGTTGTTGCCATAGTAACATCTATTTTATATTCATTCTATTAATTAACTCCATACTATTAATTAACAACTGGTAGGTAGCTTAAAGGAAGTCAAGCAGAAATTTTCTACAAACAGAGTTTTATACCATGAGGTTTATAAATATTCATTATTTTCAACATAAAATAGATCTTAATTGTCAGCAAATCAATGCTTTATTCTTATTCTAACTAATATTCAAAGTTCGATTCAGCAATGTCATTGAGTCTAGAATTATATTTTATAAAACTTGATAAGAATCACTGGTATGAAGAACTTACTATGAAATCACACAATGGTACTTACAATCCGTCTAGTTCAATTATAACAATTGATCATAACTCATTATATATACGACCTAGTTTCCACTTATTCTTTTTTTTCAATTTTCCCAACTTACTGTTTTATTTATAAAACTTGATTTTCATTTTGTTGACGATATGTATACATAACTCTCGCCCATGGTTCACTGATCAGTAAAGCGCGTCCTGAATATTCCGCATGTAAACTAAGTTCCACTTGATTTATTAATGAAAACTTTATTTATAGATAAAACTCTATAAAATCTGATATAAACAAGAAATTCATTTGGCTTTTTTTCACTATTCACTACGATATTATGTTTTAAAACAGAGGTTTTATTTTTGCATTGGTAATAATATAAATTGGTTCATGAATATTAAACAAACTGATTTAAATCATGTTTCCTCTCTCTAAAAAAATCGCTAGATATTTTTAAGAATTTGAGTAGAGGAAACTAGCTACAGTAGGTTCTTAAATCTCGCAACATGATATTAAGTTTAGATTATTTAACGAAGTTTTTCGTTAATATCTTGTGTTTTTTTACGCGTCGTTGGTCCAGCATGAAAACGCCTACAATAGAAACCAAAGGTGAACTCAAAAATGCATAGTAATGTATAATAGGTTTTGTATGAATGGATTGATAGAGCGTAACTATGCAGAGAGTAATGATTAAGAGGTAATATTAGCGAACGCGCACCTAAATACGATCAAGCCAACGTTTGTTCAAAGTTTTCGAAATTTATAAAAGACATCAATGTAGATAGTAGTGGACGCCTGCCGCAATCTTCTTGAAGAAAAGTTTCTATAGCAATGAAAAAGGGGGAATACAGTGGCACTTCTAGCGGTGAAGGTTTTTCTTCAGACTCGGATGAAGAATACCGTCCTTTACAATCCAAGCATGGAACTCAGTATCCAAAATTTGGTCGAGAAACTGGTCCAGCTGACAATAAAGTCGTCCATGTTTGTTCGTTCGTACTGGGAGCAGCACTGATGGCCCCCTTTATGGTGATAATCTGCTCAGCTGAGGACATGTTGTCAGGGAGCAAGCAGCAAACAGGTTTGGTGATCATCGCTCTTACAGCGCCATCTTTCTTCGTCAAATTCTGTTTTCTTCTTTGGAAAGGACTCCAAGATATATCAGTGGTTGGCAAGACCCTTCTAACGTATGCATTCATAACGGTTGGGATGTTATGTGTCGCCTTCTCTCAAACTGACTACAAGATCCGATATGTGGGTGTGTGTCTTGTATCACTTGGAATGAGTGTTGGGGAAGTCAGTCTGCTTATCATCGCCACAACAAAGCTGCGTGAAAAAGCTTTAAGCTCCCTTATCACTGGAAGCGCCGTCGGAGGAATCCTGAGCACACTACCTTATGTCGGTAAGATTTAATTCTGCTAAGTACAACTGTAAAGGGGGCTCCGCAGAATTCTCCAAAACAATTTAGAAATTGTCTTGATATTACAGTTAATATTATTTATTAATATTTAGCGCGCTTGAGTGACTCATGGTTAACAAGTACTAACTTCTTAAATTGCTAAGCTCCGCTTTACATAGGCCTCTAAAATAGTCATAATTGCGAAGTACATCATTCATGATAGCCGTAGCGTCGAAGTCAGACCGCATTGTAAATACTTGAAATAATTTTGGCGCCTATCATCAGTGGTATTAATTTATGCGATAGTGAAATTTTAAATTTGTATATTCGGATTATAATTTGTACCTTTTTCTGATAATAACTATATTGCAATTATACTGTGGGTGGCATCTATAAATAGTGGACCTTTTTATAAACAATTTTAGGCATGACAAACTGGAGTGACGTTWACCCGCGCTTATCCCTCCTCGTTCCAATCATCTGGCCTGCTTTGTACCTCTTAATGTTTGCAGTAGTGCAGCTCAAGGACCTAGGAAAGCCATCATATCAGAAAATCCCTGAATCGGAGAATGAAAAGGCATTTCCTCGGCGCAAGACTTTTCGGGCTAAACGTTTTATGGCAGTATGGAAAGTACTCGACCATCTCCTCCTTTTGTACCTGTCGTACTTCTCGGTGTTCCTATCTATCGGTGCTATTCTGTCAACCCTGGTGTACACACACTATACTATATTTGGTCCCAGGGAGGACTACCACCACTACATTCTCAGCATCGTGATTGGTCAGTTCTTTGGAAGGTCATTCATGTTCCTGCTACTCGCAAAGTTCCCTGATATCAGCAGTACTCCCTTCCAAGCACTGGGGACGTTCTTCTCGACTTTCATCATGTTCCTATTCGTGTTTGGCTCATGGAACCGCTTCATTCACCACCTTTGGCTTGTTTATGTGCTGTGCTTTGTACAAGGAACATTCCTAGGGATGTTAACCATCATCTCTTATCACTGCGTTGCCAAACAGACACGTAAACCACAAGTGGAATTCCTCCTCATTTTGACAAATTTGCTGGAGACCTTTGGTGTATTATGCGCAGGTTTGATTGGCCTTCACACCGAGCCTTTGCTGTATAGACACTGTCGCGAGATATCCTATGGCAACAGAAGTCATTGCTTTGCACGAAATTCCAATTCAGAATTTTGGGTCAAAGGGAAAGAAGGTTTAATGTGAAGTAATGCTAGTGTCAATTGTTCATTAATATTTCTTAATCGACATTTGGAAGGCATATGAAAATTTAACCAGGAAAATAGACATAAATAATCGTCTAAATGAATCTAGATTTAAGAGGCTCAAGGGATGGATATCGCCATGAGCTCAGCAAGATTACGACTGATAAAAATATAACTATAATTTGTGTAATCCAAATAATGAGAGAGTGTTAACTTAACTCACCACACATTATACCTTTATAAAAGCTAAGTAACCTTGGTTTACCATCCAGTCTGTCTTTGAACAATCAATTTGAGGGTCAGTTAAGCCGAAAAGGATTTTAGTTACTCGATCGAAGTTGCGCATAATACGTTTTGCACTGTATACTGTTTTGCGCACTGGTGCCGTCCGCCCGTTGATACATGCACGCAACTTGAAAAGAAAGATAGGCTGACTGCACAAGGAGACTGGTAACGATTTGCTCATTTTGGTTCATGTGCGCAACTTACAAAAAAGAACACTGACTGTACGTGTAAGTAGATTGGCTACTCGATGAGTATTTTGATCATCACAAGCTAGTGCTCAGCTTTAGAAAAGAACACTAACTGTGTAGTGTAGGTAGACTGACTACGCTGTGTGCATTTTGATACACGCACTCAGCTTTAAAAAGAACTGGCTAACTGTGTTAAGTAAGTAGACTGACAACGCGGTGAGTACTTTGATATACATGCGCGATAACAAGTTCTAAAAACACTGAGCACAATCCTATATCCCTTTCTATGTTTCTATACTCCCAAACCATTCTAGAAACGGAATAATATCACAATATATTATCTAACGATTATTAGTTATTATTACTTAATTGTGATCATGTGACAAATAATTTATTTCAACCTCTGCTTGATGAAAGTTGAATTGGGTTTGATTGACTTTCCCAAGGAAGGAAGCCACTGAGTACTGGCAATAATTACTCGCTCCATCATTTCCCGGCGCGCGTGTGAAAAACTTGCGTAGAGGGGAGAGAGAGGGAAGGGAGGGAGGGGAGGGAGGGGAGGGAGGGGAGAAGGATTGCTATAACTTCAGTTATTACAATGAAAAAGGAGTGACTAAACTCTGTGGGAATACCTGCCTATTACTCTGCATTCTTCCATGGTATCCTTGAGTGGCTAAAAGTTCTGTTATTAAAAAGGTTGCWATATGATTCAGTGCAGAAAGACTCTTGCTAAAKSGAAGAAGCCTCGACTGCCATACGAGCTTTTAAAATCATTGTGCACCGTTGTCTTGGAGAGTTTACGTTGCCTTCAGTGAATTTGTTTCT